TTTGCGGCATAATTACGATTACAATAGTTACAATCGAGCATAATTTGGAGCATAATAGTCCGTTTTGGGGGCAGTGCCAAAAAGCATAATGCTCGATTTTATGAGCATAATGTGTCAACCCCTACTCATAGGGACCTCTTCTACTTTGTCATCCTTTATTTTTACATAAAGCAGGCTCTGCCTCCTGCTTATAATATTATGGAAGAGTTTCGCTGTCCGTTTCCACGTTCTCGCAACCATCCTCCTTTTTCCACATACGAGCAGGTGCTTCTTGTCAGAATCACGGGATTATGGTCGAATCATGACAGGCGAATCATGTACGAGCGAATCATGTTTCAAAAGCCTGGGTTTGTACACTGCAATGAAATTGGCTGTAATTCATAGTGGAGTTCCCTCTCGCAGGTTTACATTGGAATATTCTCAAAATGGAATGTCTTAAAATTTCCAAAATTTAGATGTTAACTGGATTTTTTCCATAGCTGTTTGGACGTAAAATATTCAAAACTCCTAGGGGGGTACTCCCATATGAAAGGTTGGGAATGCTCGTCATCTGGCTTACGGGTATAAATCAAGGATTCTGGTCTATGTCACTATTTTTAGCTGTCAAAGAATCTTTTAAGGTGCACTTGAAGAAAAAAAATTAAAAAATGCTCTTATTTCTGCTTTTAGGCTCAATTTCTGCTGTTCTGTAGAGTCTGGTTTACTGGTAATCAAGTCTATTCCTTTTTGAGTCGTATCTTTTAGAGGTCAAATAAAGCTCAAGCCACACCTAGATCAGTCTCCTTTATGGCTTTAATTGAAATGTTCTGGCAAGCACCCCTAACCTTTGCATATGGAAGTTCCCCTGGGTCAAAACGTTTACAAACTCCTTCCACTTATGGAATTCTGCCGTGTTTGATTTCCACTAAACCAGTACTTAGTTTCACTTGGCCAAAGTTCTTTCCTGGGGCGATCATAGAAACTCAGTTCCAGATGTCACTGCTAGCCCCCCCTGCCCCACCTACCCCTGATGTGGAGCTAGGGTTGCAAAATGCAAAACCACGTGCATTTTTCAAGATCAGACAGATTTGCATACATGCTTCATTGAATCCCCCCCTGGGGCACAATACAATGTTGTATAGATTTTGTATGATCTGAAAATCCTCCTTGTTTGTAGCACAGATTTCAAAGAATGTCATCAAGAATCACCCTGCATTGCATGACCTATCTCTTATTAAAAGTCGTATTAAGTATTCATGTAGTATACATTTTAGCAGCATGCTTTTAAACAAAGTTTATTTTTGGTCTAAATTTCAGGGTTAGAAATTGTAACAACTCAAACAAACATCAGGAGAGAATCCAAATCAAGCGGAATGAGGGATGACTGTAAGTATCACTACTTTTATTACTTTTTTCAAGTTTTTTCTCAGTCAAACTTCTTGTAGGTAACTTGTCAGTTTGTGGAGCAAATGTGTTTGGTCAGGGAGGAGGGTGGGCAGAGCATGGTACAGTTGTTGAGTTGTTAAATATTTTTACACAAGAGGCTACACGGTGTCTTAATCCTGGACTGGGAATGGGGTGAAGTGATCAGGGTAGAAGATTTACTTCCCTCTGTCATGCAGTGTTTTTTGGCAACACATATGTTTTGGAGAGACTCCAGAAATTGTCTGCTTTTTCTAAAACTGTTATTCATAAGAGGTTGATTTATGCAAGTGAATAATTATGAAATATTATTTATTTGAACTCCAAAGAAAGATATGAAGACATGATTGATCATTGCAGTTATACACACAACTGAAGCAGCTGAAGAAAAAAAATCAGGCCTGAAGGGGATTCAAACCCATGAGCTCTGCGATACCAGTGCATTGCTCTACCAACTGAGCTATCAAGCCAACTGGGAGCTGGTCACATTGTGAGTACTCAAAATGTGACCAGCTCCCAGTTGGCTTTATAGCTCAGTTGGTAGAGCACTGCACCGGTATTGCAGAAGTCATGGGTTTGAATCCCATTCAGGCCTGATTTTTTTTCGGGGTTTTATTTCACAACTGCTTAAGTTGTGTGTATAACTGCAATGATCAATCATGTCTTCATAGGTTGATTTATGTTTTGTCATTGGAGTATTCCTACCCTTTCTCCCTGAAGTCTTTACATGTTTAAAGGAGACTTTGCATTTTCTCCAGAATTTTTAATTTGAATTTGCTTAAGTTGGAATGGATTTCTCTGTAAAGCGGAATGAAAAGCAGTTTCATTTGAATTATTAATGGAAACTAATTTCTTTCATTGGTGCAAATTTGTGCTGTGCACATTGAGAGAAGTACCTCAATTTTCTTTATATCAGGTTTCATTTTCACAAACGAACAGCTTCAAATAATTTATTAGTGTCCCTAACATTTTACCTTTAAGCTGTGTGTTTAATTTTAACGAGTGTTTTAGAAACCTTTCTGCATACACATGCAAAGAGCTTGTATTTTGAGCCTCTGTTTGTAAGACTACCTCTGGTACTAGTGGATATCGCTCTTTATGTCAAATCTCAAATCTTAAATCACATGAAAATTAAAGCCTGAGGAATATTGCATAGATTGCCTTAAGTTAGATTGACAAATTGAAGTTATTTTAGCTTCCTTCATAGCATAGAAATAGCGTTTTTCCTCATCTTTTTTTTTCTTCTTGTGTGTTCATTTGTGCTCAAGTTTTCTTGCTGACCTGTATTATTTCTATTTAATGCTGATGTTAACTGGCTGCCTGGCTCTGCTAGCCCCTATGGTTATTCCAGGCAGCTAGTACTCAAATTATTACTTTTAATATTTTTATTTAAATTGCAATTTTTTCTTTAGCAAGAATGAGTACAAATAAGGATTTATTATTATTATTAGTTAGTGAACAGTCTGTGAACTTGTTTGATGAATATAAGAATGCCACATGGTGAAACTATCAAAAAATAACAACCTCAGCGGGGTTCATATGAAGATGACAAGTTTTTTCAACAGATATCTTGAATTCATTTAATTCAGAAAAGCATTGATTTATCAACAACAAAGTTTATTGAGATTCTGCTGGATGCATTGTCTATAGCATGGAATTTTTTTATTGCGGCAACTTACTGTAGAAAGCTGTAGTATGTACTTAGAACAAATAGTGCTCCAGCCATTGCCTGTAGCTGCTTTCACCCTTGTAGAATATCTACAGCAATTGAGGTGAAGATAGATAGATCAAAGCTTAGGGCAACATACCAACTTTAAAGACCAGAGTTGTTAAACCACTTACTTTCTGTTCAGGTTCACTTCCCTCTTTACAGGAGATAAACGCGATATCTGGTTTACAAATTTTCAAATTCTAGAACTTTGAATGTTGGTCTTTAACGGTCAAATGAACCAAAATTTAGACCTTTTTTTCATGCGAGTGCAATGTGTTCATTAAGTTTAAAATAAACATATTCTGAAGTTTCAAACGAATTGGACGAAACATTGCGGAGATATTGGAATGTTAAAATCACTGTTTTTTATCCTTCATAATCTTAGAGCGGTCGGGAAAATTGTCGGATCCGACAATTTTCTCCGACAATTTTCTCGACCGCTCTACGATTATGAAGGATAAAAAACAGTGTTTTTAACATTCCAATATCTCCGCAGTGCTTTGTCCAATTCGTTTGAAACTGTTTTGGATTCAAGTTCATGGTGAACTTCAGAGGAAAACCACTCAAAATCAAAAGTTAGCACTTAAAAGTTCCCCCAAGACCCAAAACTTAAAAGAGAATGGCTTATAAAAATGAAAAGAGAATGCTTCATGCCCTTGAAGCATTCATGCGTTTGTGTAAAATACTTTACCGAAGACAGCTTCAAACAAAATCTTGTAGTAAGGAGTTTGTTGGGACCCTCATTCAAGCTTCATCAACTTGTACCAATGATTTTTAACTTCATTATGGAACGTTGCAAGCAGGCAATTAGACAAAAAACAACGAAAAACTAGTGAATATTGTCCGCCGAACAGCGGGCGAACTCCTCGGCCATTTCCCAAGTAAAGTAAGGTTTGTAATTAGATCCAAAACCTTCCCCACAAAAGACTCACTGGCGTGGAAATGTGCAATGTTCAAGACAACAATGACCTCACAAAGCAGAGTCTCAGTTCCATTCCTTCCATTAAAGTGCGCAGTCTTTTTGGAAACATTTCCGTGAAGCCATCGGCTGTCTTCGTACTTTTAACTTTTTTACTGCTTTTCGCGGCTCAGAGAGAAAAATTTCTGCATGTTTCCCTTAACATTTTTTTTAGATTTCATCGTTATAAAATGGCTGAAGAAGAGATTTCTGAATTTTGGTCCATTTGACCTTTAATTGTAGTTTTTCATCGACTCTCTTCCCATTTTTGTAAAGTTTATGGACTGAAAGACTTTCAGAAATTATATTTTTGTGGGAAATAAAATTGTTTTACTTTGATTTGGCAGATACAATAATTATAATAGCCTTTTGTGATAATTCTTACTGTTTGGTGGAAGTACAGGGTTGTTTTTTAAATATTAGGATCAGAATAATATTTGAATATTTTCCATTAGGTTTCTTGTTGCTGCAAATGCTTGCTAACTAACCTGTGGCGAAACAAAAGAGTGCCGAATGTGAACTATACCATTTGAATGCATGCTTAAATTTTGTCCTCCATTGATTAATATTCAGTTGCTTGTGTCAATTTTAAGTTTTTCAATCAGGTCTGGCGGGATTTGGACTAAAAACAGTAAGTTTAGCCGCTATGTTTTTGTTTCATTCGAATTAGTTTGTAAAATTTGTCTTGTCAAAACACAAATTGGTTCTTCCTATCGGTTGAACAACAGTTGATTCTTGAATGGCAGCGAAAGACTGAGTTGTCGACAGATCCAAAATGGCCCTAGAGATGAAATTGAATCATTGAGCTCACGGCGAATCAATTATCTTCTTCAAAGGAGGGTAAACATTCAAAGGAGCTGTGATAAGATATTTAAGAAAGATTAAGATATTTTTAGCAAGAAAGTTACAATAATTATGTAAAGGACAAAGTTTTCTAAGCACTGTATGATGCAAATTAAACATTGCAAGATTCAGTTGCTCTACAAAGCGATAATGTGGCAAGCAGAATCAGAGGAATTTTAAGACAATTTATAGAGCAAAGTGGAGGATATCGTCGATTCTGTTGAGGAGTGTTTAGGAAGCCTTGCAGATGAACCACCATCAAATTTTCTGTTGTTACTGAGGTTGGCAATAAGGACAGTCAAAATTTGGAATCCTCTGATAAGAAGGAATCGTCTTTTAAATCCAGCAGTTAAAACTCTGAATCAGACGGGAAAGAAAGTTAAGAAGATAAAGAATATAAAGACAAATTGGACTTGAAAGATTTTGATAGATCATTCAAAGAAGTCAAACCCCACTTTAACCGTTTTTAGCAGAGACAGACTTTTATCACCATAGCACAATTCGAAGTATTTATGGAATAAACCAAAAAATGTTGTTAAAAACCAAGATGATGTTCTCAAAAAATTTCTGTATCTGGCAAATCATTAGGAGTTGTTGAGCAGTTAGGCTTCACATCCAGACAGTATCAAACTGCCCTGGAGAAACTTGACCAGTAGTACATAGGTGAAAAACGGCTTTTACAAAGTTACCTTGCAGCCATTGCAAAACCTCTTATTAACCGCACAGCCATGGGCCAAGCGCAGTTCTTGGTTTGCACGGGATTTATTTTTGTTTTTAGTTTTGTCGGTGACCAGACCCAAACTTTCTCTTGGCCAAATCCTCAGTGGGTCTTCGAATCACGCAACTTATGATGTTTATTCGCCTAAAGCTGTTCAAAGGTTCCTGCACTGTAAATTTTATGAATGTTTTACTCTTTAGGGTTTTGTGTTATTGAAGCGCTTGATTCCAAATGAGTATTGAATACATAAAAAGCAATGCGTTGAATAAGATCATGCTTGTTTTGAACTTTTATTTTGCCAGGAGCGACAGTCATTCATCTAACTGTAATTTTCCAAGTATTTTTCGTATATTTAGACAAGAGAAGTGAATTGTCTTGCTGTTTTATTGAAGCGAGTTCAGAGATCGGAAGCAAAATTAAATATTTGGAAGCCAAGCAAAGGCTCTGTCAGAACATGAAAAGATTATGTCATTGGCAGGGAAATAACCACCGTACTAAAGATAACCGTGGATAACGTAATTCTTGAATTATGTGACTCGTGTCACTACTCGAGGAAAAAACTAATTAAACTTAAATTTAATCGTGACTTTTAAGAAAGAACGTTGTTGTTAATAGTGTTATTATCGCATCGTTTGCATCATTCATGCTCATACATATTCCGAAGAAAGCTCCAGATTAAGACCAGTATGTCATCGGAGATTTCACAACGGCTACAAGTAATGGTGCAATAAGAGGCTTAAACAGTTCATGTGTAGTAGTGGTTGTTGTCAGTTGTGCTACAGTTTGATCAGGTGATTTTAGATTTCACAAAGGCTAAGAGCGATGATGCAATAATACAGTTTGTTGATCAAGTGATGTGGTTTCTACAGTAATCAATGAATCATTAAGGACTGCTTTGAATCGTGCATTGCGTTGTGACTGTAGTGCTGAGAAAACAGTTAAATTTTTAAAGCGCGGTTTTAAGATCTGAAAGGTCTTGTTAAAATAGGTTTGATTTGCATGAAAATGAACCTGTAGGCAGAACTCATTTCCATATGAATAGTTTCGCATTTAAACTTGGCAAAGAGGATTTGGGATATTTTTAACGTGAAAAAAACTTTTTTCACAAACCAATGCAATGTGCTGGGCCAATGCGACTGGCAGCTGTTGAATTACTCAAGCCCAAACAATCCAAATCAGTGCTTTCATTATTTCATTTCATTGTTTTGATAGCAACGAAAAGCGGTAAGTAATCTGGATGGAAATGGAAGTCTTTCATTATATTTCTGTAGTATGTTAATCAAGTGCAAATTTATTTGTATAGGTAATCAAATGATATTTCTTGTGCAATTTGGAATAAATAAGCACAGGTAAATTTTTCAAAGACTACAAAAAATTGCACAAGCCCTCACGGCGAGTGCATTTTGTCGTCCTTGAAAACTTTATGAGTGTTTATTTATTCCAAATTGCACAAGAAAAAATCATTTGATTACTTGTGAGTGATATACAAGTGGCAATTTCTGTCACATTTCAGTATTTTACGTGACAAATGGAGGTGTCAGGCTACTTCAGCTTTATTGGATAAAAATTTGACATGTTAATTCCAGAGTGAAAATTCACTCTCTCCAAGTGATATATAAGACCTGTGAAAAGCAGTCTTTATTCACAGCTGAATTGAAGAACTTGATAACGAAGCAAAGGAAAAAATCCTTGCAGTTTTGTTTCGGCTTTCTTGTTTATATGTCTATCTTCGCTGCAAAGAAACTCTCCAACCCAGCACAAGTTAATAACCTAAACACCGAGAAATGAAGCTGAAATCAACCAAGAAACGGATTTTCTTAGCACTGACGAACATTTATTAACTTGTCCGAGTTACTGCCTGTCTTAAACTTTTCCATTAGATGTTGTACAGTTTAGATTTGCCTCATTTTGTTGATGAACGATCTTACCTAATCTCTAAGCTTTGTGTTTTTGCAAAAGTAGAATGCTTGCACCTTTCGTCTTTAAAAGTAAGCTGTGTAGGTTCTTTCGTTGTCCTTTTGGGTCCTTCTTTGTGTTTTGGTCCAAAATACTGAAGAATTTTAACCTGTATTTCTCAACTGGGATTTTGTATTGCCATCGTGGTCGACTCTGGCATATTATTTCACTTCAAGGTTAAGTTTACGTTTTTGTCCTCACAACTTTTGTGTTTATTTCTTATCTTACACACTTCGTGATTACTAGTTTAGTACTTTTTGCCGAGCTCTGTACTTTGCTTTGTGAAATTTACTGTCGCTTTGTTTGAGTAACCATATAAAAACTAGTTCATAGTTCCACGACTGATGGAATGCATCAATTTTCTGTGGTTTCTGTGGTTGAAGTTATTCGCTCATGATTGGTTATAACACAATAAACATTCCGACATACTTAGGTGTTCATGGTTTTCTGACTATCACGGTAGTATTCAATTGGTTGTGTCAGTTTAGTTTTTCAATAATAGTTGTGGCAGAGTTGGGACAGAGTTGGGACTAAAAACAGAATATATAGCTGCTGCGTTTTGTTTTCATTATTTGAATAGTTTAAAATTTCGTATCATTGAAATGTTTCTTTTATATAGACATTGCAGGTTTTCTCTTGAAAGGAGTGATTAGAGTTAAAGGTTAACTGTCCTACAATTGTTTTGAAACTAACTTCTAAGTGAGATTCAAGTTGCCAGCTAATTCTTGAAAGAATGGGTTTTTAACTTCAATGTACTTGATACATTTTGTGTCATGGATCTTCTGTTTTTATATCATGGAAGGTGTGGGCATGAGTATTTTCGAATGATGAGAATGATTATATTTTTGCGATGATAAGGTTTAGTTTGTAAATTAATATTATGTTTGGTTAAATAAAACCTGGAATTTTTCTAGATGTTTTTTTCTTCTAACGTATCATCAACTTGGATTGAAATAAACGAAAGTAAGCACCATGAATGCACAATTTCAATTTTTTTTTCCCTCTGTAAAATAAAGCCAAGTTGAATTAACCATTACGATAAACTTCTTTTGGTTAGAATTTTGTTTAAAAAGTTACTTTAATTTGTGTTTGCCTATTTCACTGTGGAAAATTCTGTTATTTTGGTTATGTAATGGGTTTTTATGCTACATTTTTGGTATTTTTTGTAATCTAAATCCGAATTTGTGTGCCTTCGTTTTGGCTTATTTGTTTTTCGTGTTGTGATGTAAGAATTTCCTTCCGATAATCATCAAGCTCAGTGAGATCGATCAACTGTCAATTTGTTCGTTACAAAACATTTCACTTTCTGGGATATTAAACCCAAGACATGACGTTTTTAACTGTATGTTTCCCACTGTTTTCGGATTCTGCAGGACTTATATAAAATAAATATTAAATTTGCAAGTATACTATTTGGACTTAAATTTAAGATTGATCTAGAGTTTATTTCTCTTGAGGCCTCTTATCATGACCCCTGGTTGAATCAACCCTAAGGGTTACCTTTTGCAGTCCAATTTTTGCAAGTGTATAGATGACAAAATTAGTCAAGCCAGGTTAGCCAGTGTTGCCGAGAGTTGGTTATGCCCTGCTAGAAGGGTTGAAATTTCTTGAAATATTTCAGTTGATTGCGGTATTGAAAGCTAGCCCAGGTTTGCTCTTTCACTCAAGAGACCACGTGTTTTTCATTTTTATATGAGGATCTTCCACTCTTTCATTATACTGGACTTTGTAAGCTTTTTCTTTGTAGCCCTTGTTTATAGATTTTTGGTCTGTAGATAGGCTGATCTAGGAGCAAATCACATACTAGGATAAATGAATTTTTCACTCATTTGTCTCACGATGGGGTCACTTTAAGATGTAGATCGCGACGTTTCGACTGCTATACTGGTAGTCTTCATCAGGCGATGAGGTCAATTGTTGCATGTCGCTATTTGTAGCAGCTACAAATGATAAATTTTCTAAGTGTGTATCTAGTATTCGAAAAAAATTTTCTAATTGTGCATCTAGTATTTGAAAAAAATTTCTAAGTGTCCATATAGTATTTGAAAAAAGTTTCCAAGTGTCCATCTTAAAGTGACTCCATCGTGAAACAAACAAGTGAAAAATTCATCTATCGTATTTAACACCACGATGAATGATATACATATGTTTAATGACAAACCACATGGTTTTACCTACTGATAACCTGGGTTTGTGTGAAGAGTAAGGGTACTTTAAACATGTTGGGAGGTTGTTATTCTGATGTGGTAATAAATTCTCAGAAATAAGTTAAAAGATAAATTTATTGTAAAGGGATTGATATTTTAAAGGCAGAAAGATTTTGTTGTTCTTTATTTTGTTTGTTTTTCAATGTGTTGAAAAAACATTTTTCGGGTAAAATGCTTTAAATTTATATTTTTTGTTGTTTTGTTTGAAATGCAAAGGTATCTCTGTAATTTCTTTTTTATCTTGCTGAGTAAGTCTAGTTAGAAAGTTTTGTTTGTTGATGGAATTGCTTTATGCATAGTGGAAAACTGAAATTTTGGTCTCCCTAAGGTTATTTTTTCTATTCATTTCTTGTAGAAAAATGCATGTTATGGCGCCTAAAATTGTGCAGATTCCTGCTCTTTTAAAAAGAACAGAAAAAAATATTGACGATCGGGACCTCCCGGTCCCTTGTAGTTGCGAAGAGACAACTTAAATGAAACAACGGCGAGGAATAGCGGCCGTCGACGCCAAAGGGTGTGCGTTACCACAAGACCACATTGGCGATTTAAGAAATAGTGTGCAAAATTAACGTAGAAGTAGGTTGGCTGCTATTGTCTTAAGGAGACAATTGAATGTTCAATTCTTTTGATATTGTAAATTAGTGTTATGCCCAGGAGATTTTTTATTGTACTAATTTTATTGTTGTTTTTTTTTGCTTTGCAGTGTTGGATGTTGTGTAGATTGATTGAGAGTAGAAAACGTTTACCGTTGTTTGGATCGGTAATGCTTGTTTACGTGTAGAAAACTTTGGGTTGTTGTTGATTGTAGAATGTAAAGTTTAAATAATAAGTAGCGGTAATAATTGTAATTTACGTGTAGGTATGATTTGGTTGGGATTTATTTTAGTATTTAAAGTGCAAGTAATTCTTTTTTAAATTTAGGGCCATGGTGTGTTGTTGAAAATTTGAATACAGATCTTTTGTTTTTATTTTTCTTCTTGAGGTTTGGTTGTACGTTTGTAGGTATGGACTATTTTGGGCTAAGTATTTGTTTTGGGTTTTTGAGGTAATTTTTTAAGATGTTAAAATGTAATTTGTAGGTGTGTATGTTGTGTGTTTTATGTGAGATTGGGGAAAAATTTGTCAGTGTCGATCTAGTGTATGAGAAAAAATTTTGTAAGTGTCTAATTAGTAAATTTTGTGTGTAACTATTTGAAAATATTTTTGTAAGTGTAAAAGTGTATGAGAAAAAATTTTCTAAGTGTAAAAGTGTATGAGAAAAAATTTTGTGTCTATGTTATAAAATAATTTTCTAAGTGTAAAAGTGTATGAGAAAAAATTTTGTAAGTGTAAAAGTGTGTAAAAAAATTTTTGTAAGTGTAAGTGTGTAAAAAAAATTTTGTAAGTGTAAAAGTATATGAAAAAAATTTTCTAAGTTTAAAATTGTATGAGAAAAAATTTTCTGTGTCTAACTATTTGAAAAAAAATTTTCTAAGTGTAAAAGTGTTTGAGAAAAAATTTTCTAAGTGTAAAAGTGTATGAGAAAAAAAATTTTCTAAGTGTAAAAGTGTATGAAAAAAATTTTCTAAGTGTAAAAGTGTATGAGAAAAAATTTTCTAAGTGTAAAAGTGTATGAGAAAAAATTTTCTGTCTAACTATTTGAAAAAAAAATTTTCTAAGTGTAAAAGTGTATGAGAAAAAATTTTCTGCGTAAAAGTGTATGAAAAAAATTTTCTGAGCGTCTAACTATTTGAAAAAAAATTTTCTAAGTGTAAAAGTGTATGAGAAAAAATTTTCTGTGTAAAAGTGTATGAAAAAAATTTTCTAAGCGTCTAACTATTTGAAAAAAAATTTCTAAGTGTCTATCTACTATTTGAAAAAAATTTCCAAGTCAAAAAGAAAACAGCGACTTCTTCCACCATTACGTGTAAAGACAAGCTGCGGCAAGTTAACTCCGTCTAGCATAACGTGAGCAAGACCAAATCAATGTCAAACACGATAATTTAGAGCAAACGTCATGTAAGACTGAGTACCAGCTTGTCTCTTCACGCGTGTGTGACAATGAGCCGCATAACACGCGATTTGTTTTAAAACTTTTATTTATTTCAAGTCAACAAATAGTGTTTTTCTTGTTCTCTGTTCTTGCTGTCTTTTAATCCTGCAATAGAGTAAAAACTTATCAGCTGCAGAACGGTAAATAAAGTACATGTACAAGTAAAAATACATGGTGTAAAAATATATTTTGAGATCACGAAATAAAAGTTATATGGTAATTTTGTTTGCACGCTTTTTCTGGTCCCTTGTGTATAAATAAAGATTGCATTTTGAATACTAATGAGTATTCTGCGTAAATTTTCCTTAAACAATAGCTCCGAACCTATTTATATTAAAAATTGGCCAAAATTTATCCAACGTCACTGTGGCCTCGCGGTGTAACGCGCGCCCTCTGGCGTCGACGGCCTCTCCCTCGCCGTCGATTTCTTTAAGTTGTTTCTTAACAACTTCCACAGCAAGGGGCTCGAGGCCCCACCAGACCAGTTTTTTTTTCTTTTTTCATTTTAAAGCAGCAAAATTCTGTAAAATTTTAGAAGCCCAGAGATGAAATTTTTCTTTTTACTGGCAAAAGAAAAAATATTTTGCCAGAAAGAAAAACACATCTCTGGGCTTCTAAAATTTCACATAAGTTTGCTTCTTCAAAATGAAAATAGAAAAAAAAATTGTTTGGCAGAGATCGAGCCTCTTGAAGGAAGTTGCTGATAAAAACTCAAAGAAATTGACGGTGAAGGAGAAGCCGTAAACGTCAAAGAGTGCACGTCACATCGCGAGGCCACAGTCTCGTCAAGAAAAAAACATCGACAGCTTCAATAACCGTTTTAGACACATGAAGGTTATCAAGAAAATTCGTCCAAGATTTTTTTCGCAATATTATTTGTAGATGTTGTCATAATTGCTTTAAAACGATCTTCCATTTAAAATGTCACCAAAACATTTGTTTTCCTACTGACAGCCAAAATGTTCCCCCAGTGTTCATTCGAGTTGTCATTCCGAGTAATTCAGATTTAACGAAGAGAGCAAAGAGAGCAAAGCCTCCACAAGCGTTCTCACATTTCAATTTCACAAGAGAGAATTATTTCAAGGCGTTCTCGCGTTTTAATTCCGGTATTTCCTTTGATATATATAAAGTAATCAATCGATTGTGTGATAATGATCATGATCATAAATCGCGTTTTTCTTGAAACTTTTGATGCTATAGCTTTGTGACCTTAACATTGTTTGACTGAAAAAATAAAAATAAAACATTGAGCCAGTGAAAAAAACCCCGTGTTTTGCGTGGTAACATTGCATGTCGTTTGAATACAGACTAAATACTTCGACAAAAAAGCAGAATATTCTTCTCCATCGTTTAATTTAATCAAGGTCAACATACAACCTCCATACATATCTAACTCTAAAGGTTATGAGATTTTGTACAGTATCAAAACAATTCGTTCCCGCCTGCTGACAAGTACATTTTAATCTTATGAGCACGTTTGATTTGCCATTGATATTTTAAGAAGAAATAATATTTTGATCACTGCTGGTCACCGATCACCAGTGTAAAGGTTGGTACAAGTTTCGTTTGTAAGTTCTAAATGGTCAAATCGGACCATTGTGACAAGATGATATAAACAACTATTCTTAGCGTAATATTATACTAATCTGCAAAAACCATAAATTGCATTTTAACTCATCGGTATACCAGAGATTTGCTTCGGTAAGGAGATTGGAGCTAAACTCATTGTCATCGAGAAAATAAAACAAAACAACGGACAAGCTTTCTGCCAAATTTTACCTTCTTAGAGGCTCAAAGCGAGTGTTGATGCCAACCGCTGAAGAATCATTGATAGTTTTAACTTTGCTTTTCAACTTAAAACATTGTTCACAACACAAATACGAACATTGTAACATCAGAAACTCGAGTGAACAAAAACGTTCAATCTCTTGGCGTAAAATACAGGTGCTAAATGCATGATCAAGTGGATTAAAATAAACAAAAAATTGGAACTTTTTAAAATTGATCCGAGTTCAATATATAACATGGAAGTGTGTTGTGAAAAAAGGCTGCCGAAAACAACTAATTTTTTTTGGTAAGCACACCCTGAAAACAATTAAAGAGTTCAATGAGAACGATAGAAAACCTTTTATGTGCTTTGCAATGTTGTGTTTTCATTTTTCTCTCCACGCATAAAATGATCTCCCTACTACTCCAATCAACTGTCACTTGATATCCGGAGATACAAGCCTTTTCAATTCTCAAATAATTCCACAAATTGATTCAAAACAAGAAATTGAAATGGGCTAAGAAACCTATTCTAAAAGATCTGTACATGGGCGTGTTATGTAAGCAAGTTGAAGTAAACTATTTAAATAAAATTGTATAAGGTTTTAAAACTTATTTTCAAAAAGTTCCATTTTGAGTTCAAAAAGTTCCATGTTCACTACAAAGCATTTTTGGTAAGAAAAGTTTCATCTTCTGTTAAAAAACATCCATTCTTGCTTGTAATGATCTTTTTCGAGTTGAAAAAAGTATTTTCGTTGCACAGTTTCCAATTTTAGTTAAGGAGTTCCATGTTCAGTCAAAAAGCACCTCCTGAGATGAAAAAGAGAATTTTCATTTGGAAGTCTTTCTTTTTAAAAAAAAATTATTCATTTAAAAAGGGTGTCCATAGTAGTATTTTTCCTTGGAAAAACTTCATCATCAGTTAAGAAAGATCCATGCTTACTCTCTTGAGTTATAACGTCTTTTCCTTCGGAAAAGTTTGGCTTTAAGTTAGAAAGTTCCATGTTCAACTTAATGCCATTGTTTCACGGGAGAGGTTTACCACGGTCACTACTAACCGAGGTTTCATAACTTAACCAAAGTTATTAGAAAAGCTGTTTACACGGAACTAATTAACTAAAGTTGGCAGCATACAACGGACCGTTTGAGGTTTGAAGCTATTAAAAAACAATGAACTTTCTGACTTCACTAGCAGAATGCTCCTATGCTGAACAAAGGTTGCTGTCGATTTGCAGGCTGTGATGTCGAGACAAACTCTCCTAAATTATAAAGCCTTGTAGATGAATAGTGGAAAAGAAAATTTTGATATCTCACTGAACCTTTTCCACAAAAAACTGAAATGGTATCTCCCGCAGAGCCCTGGCTGCATAGATGTTTACTAGTACTTCTTCTTATTCGGGGCCACTTAAAATTCTAACATTTGATTTTCTCCTCCATTGACCTCAATTGATTTTTTCCTCTCTCTTTGTGACCAAGAGGTCTTCTTCTTGTGCCTGCATGTACACAGCTGCTGAGCTACTTAGCTTCTAACAGAAAGGAAATGCTTACGGCACTTGATGATGAAAGGGAAATGGCAGTCCGGAATTTATTTGCCTAAACAGGAGTTAATTTAGCTTTTCTGCCCATGGACTTGAAACCTACTTTTATTAGGAGGAATCTTTGTCTATTTTTCTCCTCTTTACACGCTGAACACGTGAACATGTGCTGCCAAGATTTCGCGACAAAGTCTACTGTTCCGTGGTTACTGTCAGTTACAGAGCTCAACCATGCCTGCTGAGGCATTCAACTGTCCACAAACCTGGGTTGGCTTACTTTTGATTTTGCCAACGTTTACTGAGGTTTACTACTGTTTATGCGATTAAAAATTTCATTTCAGTTAAGTTAAAATAAAACCAAGGTAAGCATCTCTCATAGTAAATGGTTTGAACCCAGGAGTATCAGTGGTTCGTATAGTGTGATCATCCGGGTGAGGGCAGTTCTGAAGAGAGCTGTTGTTGGTGACTGACGTTTCAACAACCTCAGCGGAAGTCATCGTCAGAGTCAAGTGCATAGTTTCTGTCAGTCGATGATGTTATAAGTCTGGTCCGTCGAACATGATTGGTCAGTTTAGCCATGATGGTATTGGCTGAAAGACTCGTAAAGTTTGTCATCAGTCATTGGTGGGTTTCGATCCGTCTATTGTTAGCCA